GTTATTGGTGAGACATTACTTAAAGCCAGTGTGTTCAGAATTCTTAGTGACTGCAGAATCTAAAAAATACTATAGATTCCAACCCAGAGCCTGATTGATATGTAAGAGTTTAAAGAAATCTGATGACAGTTTGTTTGTCAATAAAAACCTTTTATTTAGCATGAACACATGATAATCAAATGTATTGACTACTATTGACTAGGAACTCTTAATTTTGTTTATTAAACCAGATTAAATTCTAATGCTCACAGTGACACGTTAACGTTTAGCAGGATTTGTTTACCATTTATTTTAGCATGTTAGCACGCTAACATAATGTTAAAATAAGTACAGCTGAGGATAATTTCAGTGTCACTAGATTTTTTGGTATTTGGTAAAAAAAAAAAAACCAAAGTATTGGATAAATAAAATTTTGACCTAGTGGCACTAAATGAAAAGTCAGACATTATTATAATTCATCCTCTGGTGAACATGAATGTCTGAAGCAAATTTAATGGCACTCTGTTCTATAGTTACCGAAACATGTCTCTCAAAACCAAAAATGTCACCCTCATGGTGATGTCAGAGGAAACATCAATAAGATCCATCCTCTGGGAACCAAGATGGTAGGTCAACGTGGCTTACGATTATAAGCAAGGTATTAACTGAACATTGTACATTTAATAAACTTGTCGGTCTTCTCTGGGGGCCAAACTAAACTAAACTAAGCCATGGAGACACTCTCTCTAAAATCCCTCAAAAAAAAAACATTTTTTCTTTCGTAAGACCTCAACTGCAGACGAACAGGGTCAGTAGGGGTATTGGTGCGTCACTGTATTTTGTGGCTTCACCACAAGGGGGCACATGAGAAAAAAAGTTATGTTATAAATCTTCCCCTTTTTAGTTCTTAGCTGCAAATGACCAAAAAAACACCGTTGCTAACTTTTCTTCTTTGTTATTGTTAAATTGGAAAATGTTATATGACGTTTATTGTTAATATGTGAATTACCTCCCAGAACCTTTTAATATTTGGGTAACATTCCACAGTCCTGTCTGACCTGGAGTATAAAATGAAGTAGATAATTATGCAGCACACTTTGATGTTGTTTAAGCTAGCTACATATTGTTTGCTAAATGTATTGGGGCTGTACAGAGTTTGTTTATTTTCCTGTGTGTATCAAAAGGTGAATGAACTTGTGTGTTGTGTTTGTTGAGCAGTCCCCTCCCCCCGGCCAGACAACTCCTTTCATGATAGCAGGGGTCAGAGCCGGGGCTCGGGTCTGTCGGGGGACGGCAGCAGTTTGTCAAACCACTCCAAACGTCAACCAGCCTTTGATCCCTGGTAATTATCTCCTCTAAATGCAGCATTTATTTTGTTCTTCTCTAACTCAGGTTACCTTGACAACACCAATTTGTTCATCGTTTGTTGCTCTGAAGCAGTTTATTGGTGCATTAAATTCCCCACTGGTCACATGACACGGTGGCTTTAACAGAAATTGTCAGGTCTTATTAGGAGTTGAAAGATGTTGTACATTTTTAGCTGGGACATCGTACTCAGTATGCTTTGTCTTACTTTCAGGACTGGCCCAGATACTGTAGTGTTGAACCCCTCTGAGCCGTCCAAAGAAAAGGAGAAGCAGGGTTTCTTCAGAGCAATAAAGAAGAAAAAGAAAAAATCTCAGATGGTGAGTTGTACATCAAAGTCACTCTGAGGATGGAAGTCGTGCCAGGATGCTGCTTCATGCATCTTTCCTTTGACGTCAACACCTGTCTGTCTACATACTCTCTCCACTTATGCTCTTCAAATGTTTGATACTTTGCCTTGTTAGCACCTCTGCAGAGATATTGTTGTTGTGATGTGCTCATGTTTCCACCAGTCATGTTCCTCTATATTACAGATGGAAGTCCCTGATGGAAGACCGCCTGTCATCAAGAAATGTCTTTTCCCTCTGTTTAGCCCAAAGAATAACATAAAGCATAGCTCCTCTGTGAGAGTCCTGCCTGTAGTGTCCTCTCCCATGGTACATGCTGTTTTACACTACACTACTCATCCCATCACTGTCACTCTAACATCGCATGCATTACTAACATTCATCACTGTTTTAATGTGTCATTTAAGCTTGTTTTTAGTGGTTTTATTTGATAATTTTATAAATATGATGCATCGTGATCATCGATTGAATCACGTAACAATGAATTGCTAACATAAACCAGCCAGATCCATCCAGCAGGTCAAATATCAGAGGAAAATGAAAATGAGGCCATAACGTGACTGTTGAAGTGACTTTTACTCTTAGAATTTCCACTTTAATGAAGGAAACTTCATGAATCTTTGTCCAGTAAAGTTGATGGATCTGACTGCGTTCACCACCAGACTCTGATCAATCACCAATGACTTCAGCCACGGCCCTAACAGCATCTCTCGTTATGAGCTGAGGATAAACGAGAGCGCTCTCTTTGCTTAAGCACGAGATTGTAGGAGTCTGTGTCTGTTTACACTCACATGAAGCTTTACTATGAACCAGCATCACACAGAAGCATTTGGTCCAATGTCTCTGCCCCTCAAAGTGCATCCAAACACAAGACCTGATTATAGAGCAAAGATTAAGACTGAGGATGAACCAAAAGAGATGCTAAATATAAAGGAAACAGCATTTTGACATGTGAAACCGGCCGCCGCTGCAGTTGCAGTAATGGTTCATGATGAAACAGGTGTTTGAGACTCTCTCTTCCCCTTACATTTCTATTTATATGTGACAGTTTGTTCAAAAGCTGGGAGGGGGTTACTGCTGATGACAGAGCACAAATAAACACAATCTGGCCAGGAGGAATCAGGCAGTCAGACTCAGAGCTGCTGGGAAATAGTGTGCACTGCATGAAGAGTAGATAGTTTGAAAATACTGAGGCTACAGATGTCTCATGGATTCTCATGGAAAGCTTCATTTATCAATAATAAACAAGATGAGTCGTCTCTTCTCTTCCTCAGATCAGCAAATGCTTCGGGTCTCTGGCTCCAGCTGCATGTTCTGTTTTTTAATTTTACGGCTTCACTGCACTTCAGATCAAATGATGCTTTGGCCTATTATCAGAAATAACTTCAGACTTATGTCAGTGGTAAATCAACACATGTAGAGGACAACACAAACACACAAATATCTTTTCTTAAGCACATTCTGAGGTTTTAATTGGACTCTGTGTAAAACTGTGTATTGTATTTAATAAATGAATAAGCTGGCTTAGAGGCAGATGGGTGATGAGCAGGCGAGCTAAATGGTTCAGGCCGACAGGAATCCAAAAACAGGTTATCCAAAAAAAGACAGGAAGCAAGAACAAAGGTAAACCCACAAGAACAATGGGAAACAGAAAGAAGTGCACGAGGGACCACAGGAGAACTGAACAGACAAACTCACTCAGACTTAAATACACCAGTGCAGGGGAGACGATAGGACATAGGTGGAACTAATTAGGGCGGGGCAAGCAATCACACAGGTGGGCAAAAAACAAAGACAGGAAGTTAATCCATAAGGAACACAAGGGATGGGAGCATAGTTTCAAAATAAAACAAGAAATGATTTAGCGCATTCTGTGTTTTTCTTGTCCTTTACACTGTGAGGACCTCCCCTGGTTACAAGTGTGAAGTTATCATTTAAACAGGTTAAATGATGCGTTCACTGTGTGACAGGTTCCTACAGACGGGGTGGAGACAGTTCTCCAAAAGTCCTCCAGGTCTTCAAGTCACCAGAGCAGCCGCCACAGAAGCCGGGACAAGAGCAGAGACCGGGACAAGAGCAGAGACCGGGACCAAGACCGAGACCGAGACAAGGACTGGCCGCCTGAGAAACTGTCTGATTCACACTCTCCAGTGAGTCTCAGAGAAACAAGAAAGGTATTTTCCTGAAACGTGTTGTTTTGAAAGGTTTGATTTAAAGATGGTCGTGTGATGTGTCGTGTTTATTTCAGAGTCAGCCACTGAAGTCACTGCGCAAGCTCCTGCACCTCTCATCCTCATCCTCCAACCAGACCACACCCTCTGACATGCGCTATCAGCCGCTGCCTAATCCGGCCGCTGCTCAAGGTGGTTTCACAGAAAGCCGGGGTCACTCAGGGGTCAGCACGCCCCAGCTGAAGAGCCGACAGACAGCCTACCCGCTGCCTGGACAACTGGAGTCCAGCTGGCACACATCCGCCCTGGGCCGCCCAGAGGGCAACCCCTACCCAGAGCAAATGAGCATCAAGGGTGGGCAGAATGGGCATGGGTTCGGACGGCCCTCCAGGTCTCGTATGCCAAACCTCAACGACCTGAAAGAGACGGCTCTGTGATTTCTGTCACCTACGGCTTTCACATCCACTTCAGACCACACTGTTTCCCCTCTGTTGCTCCTACACCTCCCTTACATAACAGTACACCTGCTGTACACACACACACACACACACACACACACACGCACACTTACACACACACACACGCACACTTACACACACACACACGCACACTTACACACACACACACGCACACTTACACACACACACACGCACACTTACACACACACACACGCACACTTACACACACACACACGCACACACACGTGCACACATACACACACACACACACGCACACACACGTGCACACATACACACACACACACACATGCACACTTACACACACACACACACACACACACATGCACACACACACACACACACACACACACACGCACACACACACACACACACACACGCACACACACACACACACACACACGCACACACACACACACACACACACGCACACACACACACACACACACACGCACACACACACACACACACACACGCACACACACACACACACACACACACACACAGAAACCAAACCTTCAGTTTTAAACACTGCTTGCAAACAGGCCAAAAGCCTTTTTATGTCTAAATTTTTTTTTAAAGCTTTCATGTTTGATAGACTTTATATTATTACTTCTGTAATTCTGATTATAATTTGTATTATAAAGTAAATATATTACAAATTAAGTATATATAAATGGATAGATAAAGTGTAGATTTTAAGTGTAAGTATTTTTGTTTCTATTCAATATAGAAATCTAGTACATTTTACTGCGTAGTATTTCCTTAAGACTATTTAAGGCATTCTAAACAAATGAAGTTTTATCAGTTCATACAATAGAGGTCAGTAACGTCAGTAACTTGTGTTCATCTCACCCAGAAATCTAACTCATCCTCTGAGCTGTTTTGCCTTTGGATGTGCTCCGTCATTCTTGTTATAGATGCTCAAATGTGCAGCTACAAGTTAAAGCAGTTTTTGTTCTTAAAAATAAAGTCGTAGTGCAATTTTTCTGAGTTGGCACTGACAATCTTAAAAGCTTCAATCTATTTGTTCTTTTTGAGGATATTTAGGTTTTTATGTCTTTTTGAAACGCAGCCATCTTAGACAATATGGTGCCATAAAGTGAGAGAAATCATAACCGACATCGCCCTCTGTAGGACATAATGAAGCACTGCATTTAGTGGTTTTTGACAGAGGTTACCTTGCACTAACATTTAGGCACTGACTTTTCAGTCCAACAGTCTGAGACCAGGATGGGAAAGTGGTCTGAGACTTTTGGACCCCGCTGTACATTATAAACAAATATTATACAAATTAAAACTATGGCTACACCTCAATCACTTCAAACAGAACAAACATAACTGTTCCTTATGCAGACCACACCGAAGATCCTTCTGTAGTAATGTAATCTAAAAGTATTTACTGAAACCTGTATTTATGTCTGTGTCATGAAGCACCTTATGGATGAATCATACAGTAGTACAGTACACCTTGATGTTCTACAGGATCCAATTAATGACAAAGTTAATGAAGTTAGTAATGAAAGATGTGATTTTCTCTGATAACGTCTCCCACCTCCAGGATTCAAGGAAGTCTGTTTGATACTAAAGATTTCACAAAAGCTGCTTCCAAGTGCTTTCAATTGTATAATCAGTTAAAACATGTGAAAAAACATGCAAAATATTCTATAATGTTTAACTGCTGAACATTTTTGGTTTATAGAAAAATTACTTGTAAGTTTTTTTTTTCTAATTACTGTTACATTATCATTTTTACAGCAGTTAGAGGAATACAAAAGCCATTCGTACTAGTGCAGTGGTTCCCAACTGTTTTTGTCTGATGTGGCTCCATGTGTTCATTTCAGCTGGATGTTATTTAACACTACTGATTATATAGAAGTGGACATTTTTACAGTAATTCTTCATACAAGTGAACTGTCAATGTTGTGTTTGCATATGTACTGTTTCCACTGACGGACTGACAGAAGCTGGATGTTTCAACCATCCTTAACCCTTTTATCCATTTATCTTTTATTTTCAGTTTATTTTAGATATTTCTACAATTCCCCCAATGTTTTATCTAAATATTTGAACTTTCTATCCATTTCTTTAAGCCATTTTTCATTCATTTATTCATCAGCAGTCTGTTTCAGCTGGCTATCCAGTACTGTTAGCTAACTCTTTCTCTTCTCACTAGCTAACTTTTCACACACTCTTACTTGAAACACAAAGCTCCTGTTCAGGTATTGCTGCTGACTATGTGCACATATGTTTTTTTTAATAGAGTCTTTCCATGTACCCCCTTGTAACTGCAGAGGTACCCCTGGACTTCATGCACCCTGGTTTGGAATCACTGTACTAGTGTATCTTTAACTGACGACACACTGAGACACTTGGGACAAGCTTTTAAATGTAAATGAACCACAGTGAGGACGGAGGCCCTGTGCTGTAAAACTTGTTCTCTGTCTGAGATAAAGTGCCATGAACGTAGCTCGGCAGAAATAAATCTTAAACTTCTTATTGTTGCACTTTGAAGAGACTGTGTGACTCAGCAATATATTGCTCTGATGCTGTAAATTCTTCCTCACTTCATGTTCATCATGTGCACAGTGTGTGAGGACTGAGACACAGTAACACACTGAGTCCAAACCACCGTATTGTATTGTGTGTTGTGCATCTGTAAGGACTGTGCACACTACACATTTCTCTCTATGGATTATTGTTTTGCTGAAGGAGCACCGTGTATTATATTAATACTGATGTGTGACTACTTGTTTGGTAATATTTATAACAGAAGATGTTTATCAACTGTTAAAATGAAATCAAGTATTAAGTTTGTGCTTTTATTACAGACACAAATTAGTAGCATAGTCAGTGTTTATCTGCTTTTTTTTCCAACAGAGCATTTACATGAGAACATAAACCCACAAATGAATGCTTAACAATTTTAGAATATTCATGTTTACATATGTAACAGTAAATCTCAAATAAAACAAGCTCATTTGATTTGACTCTTAACCTGTAAAATCTTTTTTTCAGTAGTGTTCGATTGTTTATTACTAAGTGATCAGATCTTTGTATTTTACTGCCGCAGTTTTATTGAAGCACATAGGCATCCAAAAAATCTCTTTTCATCTGGAATCCCCTGTGTGCACAGAAAATGTGTCCAATCTAGTGTTTATCTATTATAACAATGACATTATAGATACTTTAAGACAGATAAAATAGTGCATCAAAGGACACCAAACATGTCCACCTGCCCAGACTGAGTTTGCTTTGAGCCTCACCGAAGAAAGACAGACATGTTATAGACATGAAGGTCATATTAAAAAGCTGGACCAGTGTCCCCCTTTTGGCAAGCGGCAGGTTGGCAGGGGAAGGATGGACAGTGAGGAAGGAGCAGGCTGAGTACACTTCAGGTGCACTTGTTCATGCACATCAAAAGCTCCATCCTCATGGCGATGCGGGTGTGCCAGCCCAGAGGCAGCAGGCGGATGTAACGAGCCACGATAGGAGGACGCAGCAGGTTCTGCACCGTGGAAGAGCGGTCAGAGTTCCCATAGAAAACCTGGAGAGCAGGAAGTAAACAGCATTGCAAAGACACTATTAGAGTCTGTGCACATTCACTCTAGGGTCATAAATTGTAATCTTAATATTTGAATTAGAATAAACAGAAACACATTGTTCTTCTTCTTCCCATTATGTTCTGCAGTCTTTGTACTAATCACTGTGAACGATTTTAGAGCCAAACTCAAGTGAAAACAAAAATCACTGAACTGAAAAAGCCCTTCTAGACTAGAAGTAAAATACAGTAAAACTAAAAGTAGTGTAAGAAAAATTACACCTCAGTCCTTTAGCTTAGCATTTTTAGCAGCTCATTTCATTCTCTCACACACAGGAACATTTCAGTCAAAACATGAACAAAACATGACTAAGCATGACTAAATAAGAATTAGGGAGCCCCAAAGTGTTCAATATTAAATAAATAAATGAGACAATATGTAATAAATAAGACATTTTAGAACTCAATGTATTATTTTGTCAGCATTTCTTACACAATAATATATATATATATAACTATACTACTATATATTATATATATATTTTAGGGGGTTTTAAAAACTTTTTATATATCAAAATGTCCTAGGAAATGTTTTATGTTTCCTAGTGACATATTCTCCAATTTAATTTGAATTAATTCTATAATTAGGTTTAAAAACAGTGATTAAATGAAAACAAGGATAAGGACATTAATTAACATTTCTTAATAAGAGTTTTTTTTTTTAAATATAATAATAATTATTTCACAATTTATTTGCAAATTTTCCTGTCTTACAGACTTTGTTCATATGTTCATTTTATTTTTTAATTTCAATTGTATTAACATTATTATATTATAATAATATTATACTATAATAGTGAAGACTTTAGGGCTCCATAGACAATATCATCGAAGACAATTAATACTTTTTGAGTTAAAGAAAATGAATATGTCCATTCATAAGTGCTTACATGGAAAATATAACTGAGGATACAGGAGTTATTTAAAGTAAATTGATGATTTATATTGTTTTATATTGTTCTCCGAGGTTTTATTATGGATCAAAGGTGGTGAGACAGACAGAGAGAGAGTGATACACTATTTATGATTGCAAGTCGACAACAACAACAGAAAACACAGCCAGGTGTTGCCAACAGTTTGTTCATTACAAATTCATAAAAATTATTTATTGTAGAAGCCGTCACTTTAGTCTTTATGTAAATATATGATTTTTAACTGATGCACAGATCTGCTGACCTGCAGCACAAGTCTTAGCTTATAGTGTGGTGAGTGTTTTCTGTGGTGACCAAACATCACACATCGTCCTGAATATCCTGGATAAAATCCTCTCTGACGGACTCAAATAATTTGCTGGTATTTATCATTGAGTCACATTCAGAGACGAACATGAGGGAAAATAATCCTGAACAGGTTCAGTTCACTCACTGGTTCCCATGATAAACTAGTTTGTGTTTGTGTTTACTGCTGTTTACAAAGGTGGGGATGCAATTAATATTGATAAATTCTGCAAGAGTAACGAATATGTTTGCTTTTCATTTGTGGCATAAAGAGACTTAAATCTTAACTGATGAGTATTTGTGTGTTTACCCTGTTGTTTCCTGTCTGGTCTTTGTAGTAGATCCAGTTCAGAGTCTCCACAGTACGATACTGGATGCTGTATTTAGTAATCCATTCATCAGCATCACAGCGGCCCTGGGTGAGGATACCAGACACCACTCCCACCTCCTTCAGATCAATCTGGATCCACTGGTACTGGTCGTTGAACTTGGACAGCCAGGCACACCTAACAAACATGAACACATCTGTGTTTGTCGCATCATATTCACAGTAAGAGTTGCTTATCATAGTGTCGTGTGAAGCGGAGAAGAGAGTGGACCCACCCAAAGCCTTGGTTGTTGAGGCGAGCCTTGTTGGGGATCCACGAGGAGTACCAGCCGCTGTACTGGTCCTGATTGGAGCAGCTGATCTGGTCTGATGTCAAAGATCCAGATTCAAAGCCCAGGGCTCTGTGGTAGGGGCATTCTGTGGAGATTTCAAGTGCAAATACACATGAAACTCAGTTCATACAGCTTCATAAATACATGGCAAAGTCTACTAATCAACCAGTAACATTTCAAGCTCATGATTTTATTCTCTAATATTCCCTCGAGCCCTCGTGCTCGTCCTGACCCAGCTCACAGTGAGACCTTGAATTCCGAGGGTTTGCGTGATAAGGCAGAAGAACATGATCAGGACATCATCTGATGTGTGCTGCTTTGCCCAGTATCATGCTATTAGGTGAAGGGCATGCCCTATTTTGGGCTCTCTAATCTGCTCATCACATTCCTGCACAGGTAATGAGATTACCTCACACCATTTGCTGTTCCAGGTTCCTCTTCTTCATACTTGTGCATTTCTTAAACCAAAACTGTTCTCATCTAAACAAAATATTCAAGCCCTCTCCTCGGCTGGAAAATGTCACGATCACATTAGAAGGTGACTGTGCATCTCTGCAGAGAGGTAGAGCCCAGATTTGGCTGAGTGCATGAATGGACACAGCCTGCTACCATCAACTGTGTGATCCATCACACCGTCTGCTCTCTCTCTGTGTGCCCACACACACCTGAGAGATCCACAGACCATACTGCTGCCACTGTGTCACATGACGTGAATCCCATTTAGCACTTTTTTTAAGAACTTTAGGAAATGAAGGGCATCCAACATCCTTGTGAGCGTGACAAACAGGGGGACTACGACTAAGTCCAGGCCATGTCACAGCGATGGAGTCCGACTCCTCACCTGGCATGCAGTTCATTGGTTGACCCTGAGGCGGCGAGGGCAGCGAGGTGGGCGGGACAGGTGGGATGACAGCAGGGGTGCCTGTCGGTGAATCAGCAGATTCACAGTCACAGGTGCAGGCTTTGATGTTCCGCGTCCATGTCTCGATCACCTCCTGGTCCTCCTCCTGCAGCTCCTCCTCCTGCAGCTCCTCCTCCTGGACAACCTCCTCCTCCTGAAGGTCACACAGGGAGGAGTTAATCCACACTTTGCTCTCGCACTCACTCAATATTACATTTTAGACTCATTTCAGGTGTTTTTTTTAAAAAGCTCTTACCTCCTGGGAGTGGACGGTAATCAGGGCTGCAGCACATTAACAGATGCATGAAACATAGAAGCAGACATTGAAATTAACTGAGGACTCTAGCCAAACTTTACACAAGAAACAGAAAAAATTAAGAGGAAACAACTTCAAAATAAAATTAATGTATGAATTGCGTGAAGATGTTTATAATTAATGTGACAATTATCTGCGATTATTCTGCTAAATTTGTGTGAAGGAGTCAGCAGTAAGAGAAAAACCTAAATTAACATTTTTCACAACTACAAACTATAAATATTAACAAGGCTCCTCATGATAAAACATAAACTCCTGAGTTAATTGCAGCAAAATTTCTGTCTGGTACTTTTAGTAAGCATGGTTACACAAAAACAAGAACCAAAGTATAACAGTGAGTATATGGAGATTTTTTAAAGGTAGGTTCAGTGCATTATGATTTAATAATATCCCTCATGCAAGTAGTGACTTACCCTGACATATAAGCAGGAGGAGCAGCACAGCAGCACCACGAGCAGTGACCTCCATCTTCCTCTTCAGCTGTGCAGGAATGCAGCGTGTGTGTGATAACCACTGCTAGTGGATAGGATTACTGTAATCCACAGGCCTGTGATGGCCTCATCTAATACTCTTTATTGGCCTCAGACACCTCCTCTGCACCGCTCTAATGTACTGCACCTGCGGTGGACACATCAATTCATACATCAAGAGTGAGTGACTCAACGTCCACACTGTGGCTCTGGAGGTAGATTGGTGGTTTGATCCCCGGCTCCTCCAGTCCAAGTGTTGAAGTGTCCTTGGGCAAGATTCTGAACCCCAAATTGCCTCTGATGGCTGTTCCGTCAGTGTATGAGTGTGTGTATGTGTGTGGGTGGTAGAAGCAGAGTATGTGTAGAAAGAAAGCGCTGAATGAATGTGTGTGTGTGTGTGTGTGTGTGTGTGTGTGTGTGTGTTTGTGTGTGTGTGTGTGTGTGTGTGTGTGTGCGTGAAAATGGGTGAATATGGCTTGATAAGACCAGGAAAGTGTTATATAAGTGCATTTATTTACCTTTTAACAACAGAATCCTCACAGACTAAAGCTGAGTCACCCATGTGAGCAGCGAGTAAGTTCAAAAAACTTTATGAGAAATGAGTCACATTTGTGAAATCAGCTGTCACCTTTTTTGTGCCCAGCTAAGTGCAAGACTTGGACAGGATCTGACCCTAATTCATCAGTCGTCTCCACTGAACTCAGCCAGAGGCACAAATGTCAATGTTTTATTTACATGTGGTAATAACTTCATTAAATTAACTGTCTGTCTCTGTAAAAGTATTACACAGGAATATGAAAATTGAAAATATAAACACATAATGCCAGAAAGAGGAATTGTAGATTAAATTTTAGGTTGCAAAACCATAGCCAGATTGACAGGGGAAAAATGTTGCTGTTGGTCCACAGGAGTCCTGTTGCCCTCAAGATTACACTCATCACAGTTTCACTTTGCCCATAGACCTACAATCTAACATGGTCTCCTATGATGGAATAATTCTACCTGGCCTAGGCTTTTCTGTGTTCAAGTTAGCTTGTTTTAATTTGATTAAACAATTTTAACTGGAATATTTTGATGATGGTCTGTGATGGCCGCACCAGCAGCCACACATTGAACCAAGGCATGGTGGTAATGTTTTTCATTTGTTTAATCTACTCTACTGTAAGAGTCTCTTTCTGAGCAAAAAAAGCACATATACAAACAGATAAATAATTACTCACATGTTTTGGTTTACTATAACAGTTTTATTAGCAATATTTGACAGCATGGTTACCTATTTGGTGTGCACACATTTAGTTTAACTTTCTTTGTCAATTTTGTTAAATTAGTTAAATACATTTAAGCTGTTTGTTGTGTTACGAAATTAACTACATTTTCTTTGAGTTACCAGTTCCTGGGGGGTTGCAGCTGGAGTTGCCAGGCTGGCCATCAAAAAACGCCCCACCACCATCAAGCCTGCTTATATGGGGGCTGATTGCAAATTGGACTGCACCATGTTGCTTCAGCATCATGGGCGGGGGCAGTGTCTTTATTAGTTTGGGTTTTTGGTATTAATACTTTGACAATTCTGTTGAGTTTATTTGTTTATTATTTTTCCTCAATTAATATGGGGTAGCATTATGCTGACATGTTTTGTCATTATTGTAGTTTGCTTTAATGGTTATGTTGTGGTCTGTCCCCCATGTGTCTGAATGGCCTGATCAGCCACTATATATGTCTCCCCTATGTTTCAGTCAGGAGGTCAGTTTTGTGCTGTATAGTTTTTTTCAGTTAGTGCTTAAGTTTAATTCTGTTGTGTTGACATTTTCATGGGCCCAGAATTATAGTAAAAAAATAAATTTAAAAAATTGATATTATTTTCCCAAAGACCTGTGTCTCTGTATCTGCTCAGTCCCTGACACGGTCTTAGAACTAGATTTTTAACAAGGGCTCTGGCACAAGATGTAGTCACAGCAACATAACAATGCAGGATCTGCTTTAGTCTATATTGTACTTTAATGGTATAAATTCCTTCCTTCAAATTCGCAAGAATAGAGCTTTTAATGACAGAGCTGCAAAAATTCAGTCTGTGAGACAAACAAGAGAACTTCAAGAAAGAGAGACTAGATTCCAACCTTGAATCAGGGATCTGTATCATTCACTCTGAGGTTTTGCTGCCCCCCTGGTGGATATAATATTAGCCTATAAATTATGGCCATGTTGTTCTCTATCAACATCAACATCACACACTACAATCTGCTGAACATCTCTCCGGGTTCTTCCGCCTGGATTCAAACATTCAGCTGCTGCTTCTGTTGATGACGTTTGAATAGGCGGAACCAGTCGGCCTGTTTGAGGTTTGATTGATGTCTACAGCAGCTAATCACATCCGCGACAACGAGTTAAAGCGTCGAAAAGGCTGTGACATGTCAGCCAATGAACAACGCCATGAGCGCCTGACTGGCCAATCAGGATGCTCGATGCCTACTGGCCCTGTTTTAGGGTGCTGTTGGGTGGCTCGGGTCTTCAGAGGGAGATACAGTATTATTGTACAAGGTAAGTAGTTTTCAGTTAATATTATTTCACCGTTTACACTAAAATGTCTGTACACGTTTGGTCGCGTGTCGTGTTAAGTAAGCGTGGCGTCGGCTGAACGGGCTAATGCTAATCACTGAATAACGGTGTTAACGATACTTCCGTTGCGCTGTGTTGATTATGGTAAAGGCGAGATGATCATTTCTGTCATGTTTCTGTTTTAACGGTAGAGAATTGACTGTATAAACTACTGATTGTGTTATTTGTTTCAAATGTTTGAAGAATTTTAAACGTGCTATATGTTGTCAACTGTTCAGACAGAAATGTTAACCTGAAGTGAAATGCTGCGCTGTTTATCTTTAACACATGGCAGCAGACAACACGTAAATAGCTTAACAACTAACTATTAGGTTAGCTATTCTACTGCCATTTCCCCTTAGCTGGGAGTTTGTATGGGGCATTTAACACAGTCTAATAGAACAACCCTGCAGTGAATCCTCCTTCATTCTTGTTATAGTTTTTTTAAGAGGTGTTGGTTCAACTATATGGTTATTTTAAAGGCTGCAGTCTGTTCTGCTGTTGAATTGTATTGCCTTAAATGGACTGGTGTCTCTAATATTTTGTCCACCCCACTTATATTTATGAGAGAAGGCTAAATAACAGAAACATCTGTCTGTGTAATGCAATACAGTTTAAAAGCACCACAGACTGCAGCCTCTAAAATGATCACACAGTTGAATCAACATCACAATCACAAGTATTTGAATAAAAATTGAACATTATAACGTCATGAACGAGGGTTGTTGTTTAGCTAGATGTACCTAATAAACTGCCAACTGAGTGTATATTAAATTATTGTACGAAGGTAAAGATCCAGACTTTGACTGACCTAATCAAGTTTAATTAATCTTGGTGATGTCTCATGCACCTCTCACAGTCATTTCCTCAGTTTGTCTGAACTTGTCAGAATCAGCCTGACTCCTAATTCCTACCTCTGGCATCCATAAAAAGTGGGCGGAGGTGCTCTTTTGAATGTTTTTTTGAATCTTTCTGCAGCTGTCTTTAACCACCCACGCTTTCCCCTTGTTCCTCATTGTGTTGTGTCACAGCTCCTGTTTTTCTCTCATCTCTTCATTTCAGATGCAGTTCATGCTTCTGTTCAGTCGACAAGGCAAGCTCAGGCTTCAAAAATGGTACGTGCCTTTGTCTGATAAGGAGAAAAAGAAGATCACCAGAGAACTGGTGCAGACAGTCCTGGCTCGAAAGCCCAAAATGTGCAGCTTCCTGGAGTGGAGAGACCTCAAGATTGTATATAAGAGGTGCGTAGAAATAGGACTTGTGTATGAGCAAAATGTTGACTGGTTGAATGCTCACAGAGTTTGTCACACCTCCCAGGGCAATTGACAGCCCTATCATTCATAGACGGTCAGAGAATCAGGAGAATGTTATCAAAGAGATGAAGGCATTATGACAACATGAAAGAGCATTCATTTTACCTCATTATGTCCTGTTGCCGTGCCAACGGACAGGCAGCCAGACTGTTGGTGAACTCAAGTGACCCAACATGGCCAGACAGACACAGTGGTGGAGGTGCTGACCTGTCAGCGACTTTGCACCACAGCTCAAACAGACAGATTTTCTTAAATTTAAATAGTTTAATAAATTACTTTGCATTTTTCATAATATTTGGTTGTGTGTGTTTTTTTTATTTTTATATGTGTCTGTGTTTTTTGCCTACAACAATTAAATTGACTATTATTACATACAATTAAGGCATAAAGGTGTTATTAAATGTGATTAGGGCTGCTGCCTGTGGATCTAGTTGTACGGCAGGGGTCAGAATACATTAGTTCTGTGTAGCTCAGCTAACAGTTGAAGAGAGAGGGTCCTGTCTACTCACATGTCAGAGGAGATTTCTTGTAAACTGTCTGTGTACTGATGCAATAATTCTCTGCCAAAATTGAACAATATTTGTCCTGAAGGTGAAGCGAAAGAGGTCAGAGAGTAGTAATTGTTTTGAGAACATGATTCAGCCTCGGTTGAGACGTTATGATTTTAAGGAGACGTGAAGGGTCACAGACATTTTGAAGTCCTATTTCTTTATTTTATTTAATTTTTTCACATATTAACCAAAGTGAGAAGAAATGAAAATTATAAGTTGTCAGGTCAGATAGGTACATACATGATGTGCTCCACAGCCGGATGAGTCTCAGAACGGCCAGTGGAAATTTGTTTTGATACAGCAAAGACAATAACTGCTGCTGCTGTTTGATATTTAGGCTGTTTATGACACAGTATGAAATATAAAGTGTGAAATAGAATCTGGAAAGATGAGACTTGGAGCACACAGTTACAGCAAAGCGTAGCTACCACGGTTTCCTGTCTTCATGTTGAAAAAGAGCTCACAGCTGTAGACAGAGATTTTGATAAGGTGCAGCAACTAATGTTGCAACATACAGCCTTCATGAAAACATGCAGCATGTCTCAGGCTGCAACCAGTGACTATTTTCATTATTGATTAATCTATGTTTATTTTCTTAATTAGCTGATTAATATTTATTTTCTATGAAACATCAGAAATTGTGAAAAATGTCAGTAATAATTTCCTACAGCTCAGATTGAGATGTTTTATTCAACCTTCAGTCCAAAACACAAATATATTAAGTTATATGTTTTTCATGCTGCTCATGAAACACATAGATACTGTTTCAAGAATAAGAACCAGAGCCAACAGTACAGTGCAGCTCCAAGTAAGACTGAGCTTCCTGCCATGTGTAAAACTCACAATATAACCATATAAAAGTCATAAACAACAAATCCATGTGTAGGCTCGAACCGTGTCATCAGGCTGCCACATGCAACACACAGTAGAGAAGCATTTTATTTACTTGCTCTACATAGAGCTACATGTGTCCTGTTGCCCTGCCTGCTGGTACACTTTGGGTCAGCTACAGTAAAAGTGCTGTTTCACTTCTCTGTGACAAAGACAACTGAACATCTGAACTGTAGTCATTGTTTCCTGAGCCTGGCTGTACCATGCATTAACTTGCACAAACAGCAGACAGGGATGGCGTAGACAATGAAACAATAAATAATTCAAAAAAAGGGGAAGCTGATCAAATAACTGTAATCAATAATGCCAACAATTTCTAGTCCACTTCAGTTTGAGACCTGCTCCTTTATGCTTGTCTTCCTAAAATCTTCAGCCTGGTCCATTGTGCCCTCCTGACCTGCTGGTTGTGAGGGATCAACCGATCAGCTCCTTTATTAGCCGGTCATCACATGCTTAAAGAGTGCCTCAGGGATTATCAGGGATAAGGAACCATGGCAGAATGAGGCTTAACTGATACAGCCTTCTGCACCTGGCTTCTGGCTTTTAAATGAATACCCTGGACACAGTAAACAGCAGTCACTGATAATACGAGAATTGCTCTCTCAGCACTATTATAGTGAGCTGGGAGACGGTGTATATCACTTTTGAGAGTCAGCTCCTCTTACATTCACTTTGTCAGGTTGACGTTGCAGTTTTCACAGTAGAATACTTTTTAAAATGCTGTTATTTTTTTACTTAGTCAAGTTGAACTTGGCTGCTTGTTGTTCTGTTGCAGATATGCCAGCTTGTACTTCTGCTGTGCCATAGAGGACCAGGACAATGAGCTCATCACGCTGGAGATCATCCACAGATATGTGGAGCTACTGGATAAATACTTTGGCAGTGTGCGTTTCTGCTGTCCCCTCACTTCTGTTGATGACATTGCTAATCGTGTGTTTGCCACCTGTTAAACCGAGACTTAAAATACAATTCATTTGTAACTAGATCTGTTTTTAATTACTGATTAACAGGTTTGTGAGCTGGACATAATTTTCAACTTTGAGAAGGCCTACTTCATTCTGGATGAATTCCTGTTGGGTGGGGAGGCTCAGGAGACATCCAAAAAGAATGTGTTAAAGGCCATTGAGCAAGCGGACCTGCTGCAGGAGGTAAGGCACCAAATTACATCAAAATAAGAATTAAAATGATTTCATTTTCTCCCACTTCATCGGTCATCTGCCATCACTGACATTTCTGATTCTCCAGAGCAAAGTCAGGTGGAACTGAGGAGTGAATCAGAGTCTGAATCTTTTACCCCAGTACAGTCCTGCTTCCTCATGTGAAGTTTTTATGATCTCAGTCGTGGTTGATCTGGTGACACCTGTGCTTACTGGTGGCAACAGCACAGACAGTTTAATACTTTTCAGAGCAGTTTATCTGATGAGTCTGTTTCCACCACTGTTTGTCACATATTGTTTTTATTGAATATTATTGAATCATAAACTAAAACTTTTTTTTTGAATTTCCACCTTTTCAAAAATTGGTGGATGGACATACACTCACTGTGGCTGCTGCGTGTTGTTCCATTCCTCCCTGCAACATTTTAAACTGACCCACTGTCCAAAAGATGTAGAAAATGACCACTGTTAATGATATGTGACGATACGATAGTATATTGTATTCCTAGTGACTCTTTCACAATAAAACACACCAGACAACTTTTAGTATGAAGCAGCAACAGTAGAAAATGTTTAGCAGTAACTTAATCCAGCTCTGATTGGTTGAGGAGAATGAACAGTAAACAGTGAGGCTGTTATCCATGAAGTAAAATTACAAACGGTAACACAGGATTACACGCTGAATCATTTGTGTAAAGGTTATTTGAATCCAGGGCAGGAATGTCAGATTAACAATGAAGCTGCTGTACAGAGAAGTAGCTTCTTAATGCTAATACACTGCGTTGGTGAAAAATGCCTACAATAAATTGTATAAAAATGCAATTTGATGACATGAAATTTTAAAGGTTTATAAATTTAAGTTTTATTATTATTCATTAGTCAGAGTAGGAGTGGTTGTATCTCGCAGTAAAAGCAGAGTAGTTAAAATATTGAAGTAATTAAATCACTAAGCTTTTGTGAAAGATGAGCGCTAACTTCATTATAATATTAAGTGTAAGAGGTCACTGAGCTGCTCGTGCTTCACAGTGTTTCTTTCATTCAGTGTTAACTTCATCTTTAATTTCATCTTCTGAGCTATATGAGTGTGGTTTTTCACAAATGTTTTACATTTTATTTTCTTGTGATTTTCATTTCTTTGACTTCACAGTGCTGTATTGTCTTTCCATTTTGTTTGATTTTGCTCTTGATTTCAGCTCATATTTCTCTCCTGCTATTGTGATTTGCAGAATATAGATTTTCAGATGCGCCTGTTTGCAGGTACTGTTTGTTAAAACCCAAATAACCCCCGCTGTAGTGTTAGATCAGTAGCTTTAGACATACTGTAGATTCACCATCACAACACTAAAGCCACAGGAAACAACCAGCAACACCAACATTTCAAGTGTCAGGAGCACACTGTAGATATTGCAGTTGCTGGTGTGTTTTTCTGCTCTGTAATGACTCCATCCCTGATATCTCAGTGTCACTGTATCCTAGGCACTAACCCATAACTTCTGCTGCAGCATATCTAAATGACCTCGCAGGTATATAGTTTTTCACCCTGAGGGACTTTTCACAAGGAGCTTAAATTTGTTACAGCGACATTAATGACTGTGAAAAGTAATGCTTTGCTCAGGAGAGAAAAAGTGTCCTGATGACTGAAGGGAATATAATAGGACTCTAAAATCTATTACTACTTATTTAGAAATATACATTAATCACTTTAATTATTTTCTTATTTATATTCCTTCAAATATGCATGTCCAAAATATGGAAGATAGTGGATAGTGGTTGATAGCACAATTAAAACATTAACATTCAGTAACAATAAATATCTAAAAGGAAAGTGATTCTCCAGTTTGATATTTCACACAATCTTCACAGTGTTTTCGGTCTTGTTTAAAAGCAGTGAAGTGAGGGGAGCATCATGGTGCAGCCCAGAAACAAATCCTCATTGTCTGCACTGCTGAGGCCACACAAACACTCCTGGCCCACATTAGCATTTCATGTAGAAGGAGAATAATTACAGTAGCAGAACCACAGTGTCACTGCAATTATGATCCTGACTGTAGGCATATTCAGCAGCACAACTGTGTCTCAGTGTAAGTACAAAGGAGGCTCTGCTTCACTTCAGTCTGTTAATGTCATTATCTAAACCAGAAGTTTAAAGCTCCATATTTCCTCTTCTTCTGTGTTTTATTTGAAGTGTTGATACATAAGAAGATATATTTGTGATTTTAAGAAGCAAACACCATCTCAGTGTAGTTTTACATCTCCTCTCTCAGGCTTCTCTCTGGAGCTCTAGTAACAACAGGTCGGTGAGCCAATCAGAAGAGTGGAGGCTTTAAGCCTCTCTTCTGATTAGCTGACTGTTTTCTGAGTAATCAGATAAGAATATAGCAGATTTCAGGTAAACACTCAGAGAAACCAAATCCTGCAACGTTGGATGGTGGGTCCAGGTGGGCGGGGCTTGGTTGTGACATCACAAAGTTCCAGAAGTCCTGACGGCTGGTTAATAGAATACATTTTTTATAAATATTTCTATAGAGAATGCAAAATTGTCAAAATATATCAATGATTTCAGAGGATTAGCCAGTGAATGCAGCTTTTAATGTTGAACACATACAAATGGGGCAAAAACACATATTGTATTTTAGATTACACATTAGTGTAGCATTGACCTAATCATTGTCAGCAGACTGATGGGTTCTGCTGGATTTGTTTGATCAACATTTAGTCAGTTAGTGAGCCAAAAAGGCCACCGCTAATGAGTTCTGGGAAGCAAAATCAGGTCACTGCTGACACCCCATTAACACCGGGTGGAGAAAAGTGATGTGAACTGTAGAGAGCGACCTACACTGCATTTCTGGGGGGATGATATTTACATACAGCATCAAACAATTCTGGCAAAGATCCCACATATTTTGCTACGAGTGACAAAAATATCTGTGGAAGGATATTCTGAAGTTTAAAAATAAGTGTATAATAAAATATGTTAAATTTAGAATAAGAATAATAAAGATTACTGATACAGATGTCCTGGAAAAGCTCAGTAACTCAGAAATATTAGCCTGACAATATTTAGTCAGGTTTAGTTGAGACATGATGTTATGATGTTATGAATATTTTTATGCCAAAGCATAAAAAAATATTCTGTTCCCCTGTAATTGATATTTGATTTTCGTCATGGTTTTGGCTTAAGTCATTCACCATATTTGTGATATTGCTACATAAAGCTATGAATAAGACAAAATTCAGACAAAACAGAGAGTTTACTCATGTTAGCAATCTGAGAAAGAGAAGTAGCCTGAAGAAATGAAGTGAGCAGTAAAGTTGAGACGCATTAGAAAAGCTGATTGTGGCCCACAACCATTTGCTGTGAGGAAGTTGCTGCTTAGCCAAGTCCATAATCCCCAAGGACAAACTGTGAGGCTGTTCATTGATTTACAGTCAGCAGTACCATCAGGGAGCCGTACTGTAGGGAACATACTGTACTGTGATCCTAAAAGGCTTATGGTAAGTTCCTCAGGTAGCCTTTTTCCTTTAAAGTGTATGAGTTGAGGAGCTTTTTAAAATCATTTAATTGATATTCTTGCTTGGGAATAAGTGGGGTCAGAACCTCAAGAGTGCCAATTCAGGTTTACCCTGAGAGGGAGAGAGAAACCCGTCTCTGATTGGCTCAATTCTGTATTTATAGAGCCAGAGTGAAGACTGGGGAAGTTTGCCTAATGAGGAGCTCTTGTAATGGGCCTAGGGTCTGTCCGTGCCTCCGTCCAGGCAATTGGTAACTACAAGACTGGTGCAGTCAGTCGGTCAGCATGGGTTTCCAGTTCTGCGTGCCGTGAACTTTGACCTGCATGTACTTCTGAGTGAAAAATACATGACACAATGTGAATAACAGGCATGAACTCAAACATGTCTGAATACACTCAGTTTCACTAACAGGCGGCATAATCCAGGATTTTGTGTTACATCGTAAATTTGAATAATCTTTTACGTAATTGTAACACATAACAATTTGTAAGATGTAATTTGTATTTTTTACAGTTTACTCTAAATTGTAACTTGTAACATGAAAGTGATAGAGCTATGCTGCCTGTGTGAAGACTAGCCTGTTTTACTAACAGCACTGAATGAAATTGCTCAGATTAATGATACATGTTGTTTTCTGATATATCACTACAGTATTTTACATTTACTTGTTTTAATATTGATTCTGCAGGTTTTTGTATGAGGTGTCATTTGACCCGAAATGACCATCGTCTACGAGGTGTGGCCCTTCGTAGTCGTTATAGACTGCGAAGTCAAACTGAAATGAGACATTCTGGTCTTGTACGTCACCAGCTGTTTCCGTCCTTACTGTTGCGTCACAAAGCACAGCTCCTGTCGCCTAGCAACTTTGACAACACATAACTTCTTTGTACAGAAACTTGAGGTTTTAAGGTCCTTGGTTTTAACAGTTACCATTAGCTGTTGAACTTAGCTGAAACCCAACACTTACATTTAACAGCGTAATCCTCAGGCTCTCTGTCGGTGTTGATTGCTGCCATATTATTTTCATTACTGGTGCGCAATGAATCTTGGGATACGTTGTGTCATGAAGGATCCACTTGTTGGATCCTTCGTTGTCCAGGAAAAGAAGGACCCATTTGAAGGAGCCTTTGAAAGGGGACAGCCGTGTCGCCTCTGAAGGATGCGACCCCTAAGTTAGGACACAGTCCTTGTCAGTGTATTTTAGTGATCAGACTAATCAAATGAACTTTTAAAACAGTGCAGTGGTGAAATGCAGATTTTGTGTGTGTTGTCAACTTTCCAACAAATGGTTCATAAGATAATAAACAAATTCTGTTCCTTGAGGACAAAAATTATTATAATCATAAAATCTAAATATAACATACATATACTGTAAATTAGTAGATATAACAACTGCGTGGTTGAAATAATGCAAGGGTTGAGTTGGGGCACATTTGGAATTTTGGCCCTTGAGCTTTAAGGCATTAGTGAGTGCATAGTTCAGTGATTACATGGAAACATACCACAGGGGATTTTAGCTGAAGCTATTTTAATAAGCCTTTAATGAAACATTTCTCAGGAGCTGGCCGATAGTTTGGTGCCAGCAAGCAGATCTTCTTTTGGAATAGCGATGCCTCTGAAGATTTCCAGCTCTGCATGTGAGACATCAGAGGTAAATTGAACAGAGACGTCCCAGTGAAGAGGTCACTGTTATTGTGGAGGTGCACGGTTAGTCTCCTGGTCCCTGAGCACACACTGTAGATGTGTAGGCGATGTAGGCTCCTGTGAGTTTTGGACTTTACCTGAGTTGATCAGTGTTGCATCACTCTGTTTATTTTTGTCCTTATGAAAAATGTTTGCCTCACAGGTGTGATGGTCCCAAGTATGGCCTCTGAGTCCTCTGGTCTTTTCCAGAACTAGGCAGCTGAGGTGAATACTCTGTGTCTGTACCACTAGAGCCTTATAGTCAGAACTAGTCTCAGTCCTCTCACTGTGTATATCAGTCTGTGTGTAGCTTGATTCGTGCTGGTTCAGATAGTGTTCCTGGTGTCGTTCCTGGTTTCCTGTCAGTAGTAACAGTCTCTCCACGGCTCACAGCACATATTTGTATTGGAAACACAGTCTGTCTTATTCTGTTTGTCTTTGTTTTTCATGTATGTGTAACATCTCATGGACAGTGTCCGCACCACCAAATGTTTTCTATGACTCCATTTCTGCAGTCTGGAGAGGCGACACTTTAACTGTGTGGTCACAGTTACATACATTTAAAACATTGAGCGGTGCACCGTTCAAACTGTTTCTGTTTACACATCACTCAAACTGAAATGACTCTCACTAATGGGGAATCTTACTCAGGATCAAACAGATTTGTGGATGCTTTTTCCTTAATGAAATCCTGACTATGATCTTAATTAGCTCAGCTCACTGTTACTATAAAGATTAACAGACAGAAGAAAACCACTGTGAGTCTGTTGGCTTTGGGTGAGTAGGAAAAATAAAATTTCCAGTTCAAGGAATCCTTAAATGAATAGTTCAACTTTTTGAGAAATATGCTTATTCACTTTATTGACAAGAGCTACATGAGATGAACAATATAACTTTCATGTCTGTATGTTAAATTTGAAGCTGGAGTCAGGAGATTGTTAGCATAGCTTAGCATAGAGACTGGAAATAGGGGGAAACCATGAGTTAATTGCTTAAATATATTTTGGAACTATTTCTCATCCAGGTTCAGCAACCTCCTGATCTCTTACCATTCCAGGATAACTCCACATAAAAGTACAAATTGTGTTTTTTACATTTTTGTTTTTGCGCCAATTAAACAAACAAGACATAATGTGGTAAATAGTGAGCTTAGTAAAGTTTAGACAGAGCCAGGAAGTAACTGAGCTTTTTTTTTTATTTTTATAAAAACATCCTGGTTCATTCTTCATATTTAATGGACAAACATCAGAGTGCTATCTCTCTTCTGATATAACTCTCAGCAAGAAAGTGAATAAGAATATTTCCCATAATATATAAACCATGTCTTTAAAAGGCAACACAGTGATGAGAGTTTGTTCTTGATGCCTCCTGCCTGCTGCTCTGTCTCCTGCATGTCCTGTGAATGAAGTGTGTGATTGAGGTGGCTGTTACAACCTAATGTTCTCGTGTTTTCTAAGTTGTGTGCATTTCTCTCCCCCAGCCCCGTCATGAGTACTTTAATGTGCCTGTGTACTGATTGGCTGCCATCGCTGCTGCTGCTGCTGCTGCTGCTGCTATCCACCCTGCATGCTGAGCTCCTCAGTGCCTGGCACCTTTCTTTCTTCCCTCTGAGCACCTGTCATTGCCATTGGTTTGGGGGCCGTCATAATATTCTCAGTCCACTGTTCTGCTGGATACATGACAGTCATGTTATAAATTTGTCCCAATAGTAAAAGTAAATTGAAATGTTTTAATAATATCTACTTAAACTAAAATTCATCAATATTTCTATCGAGTCATATTTGTTGTGGCGATATGTTCCATGCCTGTCATTGGTCCACTTACTGTTTCATTGCACCAGCAATGCAGCAAGGTTCTATCATGTGCCATCACAACCTAAGTTTGCTGTTTGACAAATTATTTTAACTTTAGACCCACTCACTGGAGTTTTTCCAGAGCTTTCAGCTGTATCTCTTGACCTTCAGTGGCTTTATTTCTGAAATGTTTCCAATGTGAAGAATGACATTTCAAGATCAACAAAAAGAAAAACAATTCCTTAGTTCAACAAACCACTTAAGGAGCTAATTTAGTCATTAGTTAAAATCAGTTTACATCAGCTGATGTTGTTCTGGTTCAAAAACATCTGTAAACTTTTGGATCGTGTTGACACATGATTGAAAACCTCAGACTAAGATTAAATAAGATGAGTCATATCCAGTATTTTGTTATGAGGGATGGTCTTGTTCATCTATTGCCACTCAAAACTTGTAGGGAAAGTCTGCCCCCTGTTGCACAGGTTGCAGTACAGGTGCATAAATATTTCTGACTGTGTTTAAGTAAATGGCGCACCTTCACAGTATTTCAATGTTAACACACTCTTTCAAAAGAAATGCTTGAATTCCAGTATGAGCATCTCAATTCTGATGTTACTTAAACACAGATTCATCATTGAAGTCATTGTTATGTGTGAGAGGTGTTGATCCCATCAGTTCTGTACTTCATATTTTTATTGCTTTCCTCATTGGTCTTTTTATGTCTGACTTCACATTACATCAGCCATATGTGGGAGGAGAATGCAGGAGAAGTCATGTTACTTTTTCATGTCTTTTTGCTCATATATTCTCAATTCAAACCACATATATGTGCATTTTAGTTTTGTCCTTGCTGTAATTTCTAGGATTTGTTGTTGCTATGAGTTTGAAACAAACCTTTGCTCTGACCATGGGACAGAGGGGACAGCCTTTTAATATCTGTCCAGTTATAAGCGGAGTTATTCTTGATCCTTATCTTGTAAATTATTGATAGACCCTGATTATTTCCTATTTAAATAAATGGCAAAAAGCCACTTTGAAGGTAAGTAATATTAATGGGATTAATACTAAAGAAATATTTGCACTGATTAACCAAGGGGCTCTTTTGACTTTCTACATCATAAGAAGAAATCAAACATAATTGAAATAATTAGCTTTACACTTAGATTTATCTGTCATAACTGCACACTGACTAAGCACTTAAAATGTTTTATATGATCAGTCATTGTTCATCTGTGTCCTACTAATGAAGACAGATTGCATTAATAGACTATCGTGATTAATTGAGGATATTTTATCAATGTATATAATAGATAATGAATAAATTGTTTATGATTATTTGTCACTAGAGCACACTGGTGTCTTTCTTTGATGTAACTGTTTGGTCCCTATGTTAATGGTTAAGTTGGAGCTGACATTCAGTGATGTAGTTTTTCTGCAGTTGTTATCTTGTGTGTTTGAAACCTCAGCACTGAACAGTGCTCAGCTCCATGTGTTCTTCAGATGAAGAGGGTTAGCCGACATAACAGGCGACAAGGGAAACATCATTCCAGCAGAAACTACCTGAGAGCGAAAAGTCTGTAATTGGTGAAAATGCATAGTTTATGTTTCAAAATCTGGGTTGAACATTTTGTACTGAAATTGAAATGACACCTTGAAGTTACTGTGGGGAAGTGGGTTGTTTTTCTCCTCTTACCATGAAGCCAGACTTCTGTCTCACTGCTCTGATGCAACTCCTCTCTTTACTTTGTGCTGAACCTTGTTTTAGGATGCCAAAGTAAGTGCTTCTCTTTCTTTCTGCCAAAAGCCACCTGCTCTCATCTTTTCCTGTATTACCATGTCTATGTCTTTATACACATTATTGTAGCTACTACATTGATTAAGATTGATTAGATTTAGCTTTAACTTTAATTGTGGTATCAAATCCCCAAATATGAATGTAGAATTTGGTGGGTGAACTAAACTACAGAGTGGTGGGTTCCCTACTCAAATCCACCTCTTTCACTTTACATTTATTGATCAATATAAAAAATATGAATTAATGCAGCTGTAAAGGTGCCCTGTGGAGTTTTTGACCATTAGCAGTGCTACTGGAACAGTGTTTTTATGAGTTTTGTTTGCATTGCGCACACAGACAAACGAGGTCATTCACTCTCCTGCCTTCGGTTTCGCTCTGTTGCAATGAGAAACTGTTTGTGCTGTTACCGTGAAGAGAGGTGAAGCAATGCATTCACAATGACAGGGAAGAAGAAGAATAGCTTGCAAACAATGAACATTTTAAAATACTCAACACATTTGTTGGGCTTCAAGGCTAAACAGCACATTTTGGGAAAATGAATTAAAAAAACTCAACAAGAAAACTCAGTAGGGGCCCTTTAACTTGAATAACTATTTGTACCATCAGATTCCCTGATATGAATTTAGTAATGTAGTAATGTAATGTATTAATGTAGAATTTGGGGGGGGGGGGCTGAACTACAGAGTTGTTGGTTCCTCACTGTGAGCCATGTCAATTAGTGCAACTTTAACTTCATCAATTAATCACACCCCAAACATTAGGATGAACTGAGCTGTAGAGTTACAACCGCCCACATATATTAATTTGATAAAGTATTAATTTAATCGATTAATGCAGCTTTAACTTTGAACTGTTTTAACCATTTGCATGAAGCCAACAACTGAATGGTTGCCTGTCACACCGTGCAAACATCCCCCCAGGATTGCTGCTATTGAGATATTGAGATAGTTGTAACATTAAACCAGATAAAATGTGGCGTCACAGTGTGTATGTGTCTGCACAGTTGAGTAACAGTGTTCGTGTTGAAATCTCCCATCTTCATTGTGTGACGTTTAGCTCACTCAACACTTAACTGGAGCTCTGGTTCCTCTCTCCCTCAACAGGAAGCCGAGACCCCCCGCAGCGTGCTGGAGGAAATTGGACTCACATAAACATGGTCCTCATCATCATCATCACTTGCCACACACTCCTCCATCTGCCAGCTAAACTGCTGTATGTAGCTGATTCCAACTCCAATTCACCTTTGAGCACACACAACCTCACACACACACACACACACACACACACACACACACACACGGTGCATCTGCTCCACAACTCTGCCTTTACTTTCTTTTTTTTTTTCTGAGACAAACATGTTGCACTGTTTGTGTATGTCCTACTGAGTTATTTATTTGTTCAGTGTGATGACGTTAACTGTTACCAAGGAAAAATTCTGCATAATTAAGCTTTTTGCTGCTCTCCAGTTCACAACCAAGGTACTGTACTGAGTGAACTGCTCAATCTCAATTTGACCAAAGCCGATGGGATCACATTATCCTGTGAAGTAGATTCATGATTGCAGAAAAAGTATAGTATATACAGTATTGCAAAGGGAAGTCAAAAGTATTACAATAACAAAACCAAAGAATTTCATTTCATCTCGACTAACAATGCATTGTGATTATCATGAACCTGACTGTAGTTTCAAGCAAAACACCTTGCACCTGGTTTTTGAACACTGTCCTTACACTGTAATGCACCACTGCAGTCTCAAGTGAAAAGACTGGTGAAAATGTTCTGTGTCATATTATAAGTATTATCTCAGTTTACAGACCGTTATCACTCTGCTGGTTTCTAATCCCACTTAATGTTGTATGCCTTAATCTCTGATGGAAAGAATCTGTTATTGTCCCATTGTTGCAATGTAGCAGGTAAATACAATGAGTTTATTTTATTTATGTGTAATGTGCAAGAACTAAATTGACTGTTCTTCTTCTTCTTCGTGTTTACTATTGAATTTTGTTTTTTTCTAATGAAAAAACTGTTACTGTGGATTCTTAAAATATCTAATCAGTATTATAAAGGCTCAGTTTAAGGCACCAGATTATTTGATTTAAAGCTGAATTAGTCCTTTTTTGGCCACTAGGTGGCAGAAATCCAAAGAAAGATGACATTGACAGAGCCCTGAAATATTATCGCCTTTTTAAGTTGTCCAGCAGACATGGAGCAACATGATTTTACTATTTTCTGGCCACCTGCTGAAGTCCAATATTCCTTCAGCTCTGTTTTGGTTTCCACCAGCTGAGGGAAATATAGAATATTCAGGAGTCAGACATCTGACACTATGTCTACACAGTGGCTGTCGACAGAGCAGCAGATTAACAAAGCAGCAGCAGCTCCTGTGCTCCGTCTGTGTCTACACAGGATGCATTCAGGGTACAGTACTGAGTTGTAGGTCACCCACAGCTTGGCAGGGCTCACAGCCCAATACACAATCACTGTACGTATGTTTGTAAAATGCAGGAAAATATATTTGACATATAAAAATACACATTGGGTTGCGTTTACGGGCTTATAGTGCGAGTAAAATGTGAGCTGTTACATGACCTGTGTGAGCTGGACTGGTTATCTGTTCTGTCAGGCAACTGAAAAACATGGCTGAAACACTTTGTCTGTAGACATGCTGTGGCTTTCTTCACAGGCTAGTGGACTAGCTAACTGCTTTTTGGTCTTGGGCTGGTAGTTTACAGGAGGCTAAGCAGACCCTGTGTGATGTTAACAACTGCCTGATGCTGCTGAAGGTGAGGTGGCTGACAGTGGTAAGACTTACATACAATAAAGTGTGGATGTTAAACCAAAACAAAGAGCTAAAGGCTCCACATAGCTAGTTATAGGATCTCCATGGGTTTGTCAGTACAGGCCTCCCCTTTCATACTTCACATATGCATCCAATTTAAAATGGGGGCATGTACTATAAATCACTGTTTTCCCTCTTTGATAGACTGATTTCATACAGACCACGGACCAGGTGATAATTTAGAGCTCCTACACACCTTAAATCCACCCTCTCAGGTGTTTTCATTAGAGCTCCTCCCAGGTGATAAGCCTGTACAGACTGTGTTAATTGACAACTCCCTCACTCCTGTGTTAATGTGCAACCAAATTAGACCTCTGATTCTCATTAGCCCAGGGAGTTTGGTGACCTCATGTAACACTGAGCATGGCTCCACCTTACTCCAACCTGAGCAGAGGTCTAATGAGGAAGAGTAACTGAAAACAGCTGTGAGGGTCTTTTAAAGCCGTTTCACTGTTGACTCAAAATTGGTAGATTTAACATAAAAACAAAGAAACTTTGTCCATGTGTCATGTTGCACAGCATGTTAACTACCTATTTACTACTGTGACTCTGAAAAAGTGACCATGCATAAAATAGCAATAGCGTCATAAACCACAGCAGAGTATTGAGATTTTTTTTATGTACTAAAACAGTAGTTTCCAGCCACTTTGATGAGTACTCAAACACATACACACATGTGTATTAGATGCCTTGGACACAGGACTGTGCAAACATCATAAACTGGCATTCAATCTGTGTTTTATGTTCATCTTGCACAGGTATGTTCATCTTTAAGAAGCTGGTATTGGTTATTTTATTTCTGAACTCACTTTTCTTTTTTTCCATTTTGCAACTTCCTCTATATCATAGTTGATTTACGTCTCTAAATAAATAAAATCTCTATTATCTCTTTTATATACAGTAACTACAAATTAGCATTTTCATGCATAATTGACTGTGTGTGCTGTTCTGTATCTCAGATGTGTGACTGATGTATAAAGTGAAATATACAGTAGCTACAGCTCGGGTGCAGTGCAACCTGTGTTTCACATTACTGGACTTGTGTTTATTCGCTGAGGATAAATTGTGCAGTTTACTGGCACAGTGTCTGAAATGGATAAAGGAGGAAGGTTATGTTTTCCTGTCAAGTTGAGCAATAAAGAGTACTCTGGGGGCGGAAAGTCTGTTGTCACAAACAGCTTGTTTCCTTTTATTCTTCACAGGTCACTCACAGACATGAGGACAAAAAAACTGCCTGGTTTTGGTGATAAAAAGAGCAAATGTGTTTCCATGTGTTGTTACACGTTGACAAAGACATGTTTACATACACTCAACCAGCATGAGATATAAAGATATTCTTTGGTTTCATAAGCTTCGTGACAAAACATCGTATCCAAAAACAGATTATAAACGTAAACTAAATAAAACAACATGTATTAACTTAAGAAAAGCAGGAGATTTATTGAAGCTGATAAAGTTGATGGTAGAAATGTAACAAAACACTACAGTTTGTATAAGTATAAACACAAAAGACAAAGGCTTTTGGATCCATTTTCCTGAACAAATGTTGACACAAACAGGAAGAACACAGCTTGTTTGGACCTGCATTTTTCCAGAGTACATCATATCAGCATCTCCAGTATGTGAGTGTATGGAGACGAGACATTTGATCACAACAAATACATACAGTATGTTCATCCATTGTGTCATTTTGATAAAATACACATTGTCTATACAGTAATACACTATCAACAGCTTTTAAAAAGTGATATGAAAGGGGCGTCGAGTGGTGCAGTGGGTTGAGCAGGCCCCCCATATGCAGAGGCTACGGTCCTCGCTGCAGTCGGCCCCAGTTCAAATCCCGCATCAGACGGCCCTTTACTGCATGTCATTCCCCCTCTCTCTGCCTCCCCATCTCCTGTCTCTCTCTACTGTGCTATCATAAAGGCATAAAAAGCCCCAAAAAATGTACTAACAAAAAAAAAAAAAAGTAATATGAAAATAGGCTATTGTGTGTTATTAGAAACCAACACAACATAGTTTTCATTCAAAAAAAAAAAAAAAAGTGTTGGCTCAGTATTAGGATAAACTTGTTATATGGCTCACATTTATAATAATCCTCTGCAACTGAAAGAAAATATCACTCGATTTGGTTTAAGTTATTTCTGCAGCATCAGACCAAAGCACATCAAAGCCTAAGGTCTCTGATTTCATACTTCACACTGAACCTATTTATTATTTTTGTACCTGGATGTTTTAATCAGCATGAACTTGAAATCATCATAACAGCACTTGCATCTTAAATGTATCTTTAATATTAGACAAAAAACAATTTACACTGATATTGCTGAATAACAGAAGTTGATGAGTCAGGTTGCTGACTGTGTGACTCTTCTCTCCTTGTGCTACTGTTACGCTTCAGCTTAAAATTTAGTATCATCCTGTAATTGGCATTTGTGGGATCAGTGGCCACTGTTCAGCAAAATTAATTCCTGAGGCTGAGCCTGAGGAACATTTTCTATTCATTGTGGAGATGCACTTTATGAATCTGAGATGAAGGACAATATCTCCTCCTCTTTTAACTATGGGAGACAATATTGAATATTTTCTGATAGAACTTTAAACTATAAATAGCATAGTGAAATCTTAATGACATTCAGTGGTATTTCTCCATCTCTTTCAGAGGACCAATATTGAAATTAATCATCCCACTAGGAGAATAAAAACTGTCATCAGGTGCTGTTTATGACTTTAGCGGTGGTGTCCTTCAAACAGTTAAGGCTAGGAGCTTAATTGCTCTAACTACTCCTTTAGCATATCTTCAATCTCTTTGTCCCAGTTGTCATCGTGGTTCTCGTTATCAGCCAACACGTCGTACTCCTGAAGTTCCTCCTGCAGCTCTCTCTCCCAGTCCGCAGTCTCCTCTGAAAACAACAAATGTTGGGTCACTCACTGAACTCTGATAAACAACTCTACCAATCACATGAAAACACAGTTGGACAAGAAGACTTGCCCTGTTGTGTGTTTGAATGTTCCCGCTTGTCCAGAACTAGCTGTTCCATTTCTTTGCGCAAGTCGTCCTCGTTTATCTTGCATGAGTCAAAAGCATCGCTCACAAATTCCGACACATGCGGGCTGGTGGAGATCTCCTCTTCATCCTTTCATCAAGGAAACAGAGCAAAGTCTGAATGTAACTACAATGACTTTAGTCTTTTTACTACTTTATTAGGTATGCTCTTATTTTCTTGGGTGTTTTAAACTTTGAAAACAGGAGCTTACCCCACTTGACTTCGGTTTGGTACGACAGATGGCAGATGGATTTTTCCCTTTAACTACATCTGAAAAAATCATTTTGGCATTATCTCTCAAGAAGGTGATCAATAACATTAACAGTGCAGACTAATCCATAGAAATGATTCGCTACTTCTGCTTTTAACATTGCTGTTATGCAGACTGTGGCACAAACCAATGCTAAAATTCAATGTACAAAAAGTTCCTAGGGTTAGCTAACTTTTTAGTTTACCACACAATGTTTGCCCGTACCTCACCATTCTTTTTGTTTGGATTATATTTAATATTTATGGATTTTTGTGTGTGAAGCTATCATTTAAAATTTATTATTTTTATTCTTCTCACTGACTGAACATTAAGATTAAAGACAGGCCTTATAGTTTTACACTACACAGTAGATTGTACCCTTTTGATGAGGATCCTGAGGACTGCAGCCAGGTTTCTCCACATGCCTCCATTCAGCAGTCTGTTGTGCTGCTAGAGCTGTGAGCTGAGCCGACTGTTTTATCAAGGACACACGGTAGAAGTAATTCTTCCAGAACACTTCCTCTTTCACCCTAAAGAGAATGACATCAAGGAATAGACTGTCATCTCTGTGGTAGAATGAGGTATTTTTGTTTTTAATAAACCCACTCTTGTGCAGAGATGCACATGATGAAAACACAAGTTAATATGTACAGTAAGTAAGAAATTCTCACTGTTTGGGGACCAGATGGAAGCGCATCTTTCTGAGTAGCTCATCTTCCTCCAGCATCACCATGGCAACTGGATACATTTGCTCAAAGTCAAAGTGAAAATGCATCCCGGCAGGAGGGTCTCGCAAAAAATTTCTTTTGTCCTGTCAAAACATTAAGCAATATTAAGCAATACGCTTAATATTATATAGATGCACAATTCAACTACTTTTTTTGTTTTGATATCAAAATAAATGTCTTGTAAGGATTAATACTAACAGCTGAGAGAGCTAAAATCTGTTGCTGTATGGTGTCCTCTTCATTATAACCGACCCATGGTGGCACAGCAGCACCTAGTAACAATGAAAACTAGCTTGTAGTTATGGTATTGTGATGTTAATATACTTACATGTTGTGCATTTTTGGTCAGCAAGCAATTAAGTAACTGTTAAGTGACCACTTTAAGTGTAAACAGTAATAATTGAGTGAATATAGAAATAAACACAGTATTCAGTACTTACCAAACGTTTTTGCTTTTTTCTCCTGAACAAACTTTTCTTGTTCTTTCTGGAAATCACCCAAAATGGTCTGAGGGAAGAAAACATTTCATCCGGCAGGCCAAACAAAAGGATGTGAAATCATTTAATTTCTACACACCAAGGGATATTTACCTTATCAATGATTCCATTTATTTTTCCCTCCTCTACACTTTTCTTAAATGTTTGTGCCGTTTCAACCACGGACTCGGACAGTTTCTTTGAGGCACTGCTGGCGAAATTATAGATGAAACCTGCAAAAAATATGATCACCGTTACGTATGTTATGCAGATGTAGCAAAGCAACTGAACACATTCAGCAAAATCGACTGTCCATACTATTACTATACTAAACTTTATCAAACTTACCACTGAAGCCTTTAACATCTCTCTCAGCAGCACTTGTCCGCTCACTTTCAACAGCAGCCGTCGTTTTGTTTATTTCATGATTCGTGTCCTCGTTGACATCAACAATAGACTCGCCTTCTTGTTTAACTTGGCCATTTTCACCTTCTATTCCAAACCAAGCCCCCAAGTTTTTAAACATACTTTAAATATTTTGTCAAAAATCTTAATAGAAGTTCTTTAACATAACCTAATGATTAATTACTTCGTTTATGTCAGTTTTCTGGTTTGAAACTAACTACAGTGTGGTAGTTGGTGACGTTTCACCACTCACCCATTTCCGCGGATCTCCTAAGTTTGACCCTCCTGGCCACCCTTAATTTAACAGGTTGTCATGGAAATGCGTTGTACTCGAAATTACGAGTTTGTCTTAACCCAAGTTAATGGTTAGCTAAATGGCCATTTACTGCGGTTAGTTTTGCCTAACCCCAAACAGCATTGTTAAAGTTTTAACTCTGGAGTTAGAATAGGTTTATTTCTTTAAAAATAAAGTAGAGCAAAGTTTTTTCAGAGGGGAATCTTGCTTGACTTGCCAGCTAACGGTAACGCTAGAGGGCACGCTTGCGCTGTGTTTCGCTACACTTGTTATCCTTGTTGTCCATGGATGGAGCTAGGTTAGCTTAGCTAATTTAAACTCTCCTGAGTGTGTCAGTGTGTCGTTCTTGGTTTGGATCATGTAGTAGGATACGGACTGAGCTGCTGCGTTTAAAACAGTGGGAACTGTCGACTTATTTCACGAAACGTACAACTAGCCATTTGTTTAAAAAGTGATTCATTTGAAAATAGAAACTTTTACAAAAGATGAAGTATGTGTAACGTAAATCTGGGATATAGCTGCGTGCCACCCCGAGGAAGCTTTCGTGTTCACCGGTTTATCCAGAAGTTGAACTCCCAGGTAAGGTCAGCCGTCTAAACACTTGGTTTGTGATCATTTTTATAAAGCTATAGGTCTGGTGCAGTAGAGTAGTTGATATTATAATTTTGCGCCTGTTTCACACGATGATCCGGTTACCAATGTGTGAGGCAGGTCTGTGTAACTCAGCTCAGTTTGACTTATTTGTTGATACAGGCGAAGATGGTTTCCATTGTGCTGCTCGACATTGTTAGTGTGTCTCACAGATAAGAGCATTAAGTTTAAGTCAGCCTGTCTGGAGTATGACAACAGGTGTTTACCAAGCGTTACAGATTTCTTAAATTAGTGACACCGGGATGCAGTTTTATTCCCTATAAACACTAAAACAGTTCGTATGACGGGCGAATGTGCTGGATTTAACATTCACACATTCATTCGTGTCCTGAAGCGTTGTCCCTTTCAAATTAAGAGCATAAACGTACTTCCAACTGTTGAAGATAGCCGAGCCATAGTGGCCATGGAAGTCGGAAACCTATGGAAATTATGCATATTTGATAATTGCATCTTATAATTAACCAGAATTAACGCGGCCTAGACCTTTTGCAATTCATTTTAGATGCAATTAAGATTATTTTGCTTTGTGTAAGGTTTTGTTTAACTTAATGGGGCGGCAATGTTTGAATACATTTACTGTATTACTCAACATTGACAAGCTATGATTGTCTACTTGATCTACTTTTCTCTTTTCTTCTAAACATGATTATCGTTAATACAGATTAAAGCCTACAAAACGTAAAAGACAATAGGCTACGAATAATCAATTTTAGGTTCGCAGCAGCATCAACTAGCGTAGCCTACAAATCAGTGTTGGTTTGATTAAGATGCAGTTGGGCAAAAATAAAAAGTAGAGTTGATGAAATGAATATGAACAGCATTCTGTAAAATCTATTAATAATTCAGAATCTTTGTTTTCTTTATTTTGTTTGTATTTTTTAACTAAGGTGCAGCATTAATGGTTAAGATTTATTATTTAATGGCTCAAACAGATTTACAATGACCAGTTTTCTACTGCAATATTGACTTTTAATAACACAACTTGCCTAGAGCAGATATTGCATATGAACAAATACATGAAATAATAAATCCTCCAAAACAAGGTCAGCTGTAATAAATTGCAAAAAGCAGTAAGAGAGAAGCATTAAGTGGATAACAGTTTAAAATATTTCCTTTTCAACCAGTCTAAAATTAGTCTCTTAATGAGTTTTTCTCCAGACACTGGTAAAATGCTCACTTAGTTTTATTCAGTGTAGATTGTACAGTCAGTTGTATTTTCAGGGCAAGCTCAGGTTCAGGAGGGCTTAAAAGATCAGTGGTATAACATGGGGTCAGACCATGCTGAGCTGTGAAAGTGATCAATAAAATCTTGATGATTTCTGATTGACTGAAATATTGTCTTGTGCTTTAGCACCAGTTAAAATCTAGCTGAAGCTTCCAGCTTTCTCAATTATATGCGCAATAGTATTTTATGATTAGTACATTGGGCCCGAAATTGCTCTAAAGTAGCGAACGTAGTCCACATGGGACTGTACTTAACATGTGTTGAGTGGACATTGATGATCTTTATTTTCATAACAGTATCATGGATGCCGAAGGATATAGAAATGACTTACACTACACAGAAGCAGAGAGTCTTTGGCATGTGATGCAGCAATCAGGAGATCTGGATCAGAGGAGCAGAGATGGAGAGAGCTGGAAGCTGGTGGATGTATTTCTCTCAGGAGGTGCGCCATGGGGGTTTACACTCAGAGGTGGACTGGAGCATCGAGAGCCACTCCTCATAACCAAGGTGAGTAATCTAAAATACTCTTATATCAAAGATAGTTGAGAATTGAGGTGTTCAGTGCAACTCAGCAGGTTGGAGAGCTGGGCTTTAGCTGCAAAACAAAAATGCTTCTATATGGTTTTAATAGGCAAAATCCTTAAATTTTTTCCTTCCTGTAAATTGTCAGCTCCAGTCAAGTTGTCAATGTCATTAACAAGTTGCACATTTTAATACTGTAGTCAGCAAAGTATATAAAAATGACATGCAATCAAATTGTCATTGTTGCAGCATTCAACAGCATTTTTAACATTTTAAAACATGTGGGTTTACCAAGTAAATGACTAATAAAAGCAAGATCATCGGTCAGAGGTGTGTATTTACTGTATATATGTCAGTGTACAGCTGCATCAACGGCAGTTACTATCCGTGTCCCCTCAAGTGAACATCCCCAATGTCCTTTCACATTGGATCCCAAACAAGGGATCATAGGACCTTTATCATGATGGCACAGGTGAATATAGTTGGCAAAGTTAAACATTACTCTATGTGTTTGTGTTTGTACAATAACTTTTGGTAGTAGTGGCCCAGACACTAAGATTATAAACTAAGATTATAATTTTAGTAGTTGCTGTCATCTAACTAAATACAAGGTACTGACTACTCTTACACATCACTGCTTACTAGGCCTGTGCGATGAAACAGTAGTAATATGTACCAGTGATAAACACTTCATCAATAGCAAAAAGAAAATGAAAAAACCCTGAGCTTGCTCCCTCCCTGGCTCATGCCTTGATAATGGAGCCTGCTATGAGTGGCACACAAATACCCATTCGTTTAACGGATGTGTTGTTCAGTTGTCATCAACAACAAGAAGCATAAAGTGAGGCAAATGAGTCCAGCCAGTGAAGACGGTGAGGAAATTGTTAACATAAAGGGACGGGTCAGCTTGACAGTTTTTTGGTTTCTCTAAGTCTAACTCATATCAGAACACCATTGTGTGTAAACTGCAGGAAAATTGTCCCGCCCAAGAGCGGGAATACAACAAACTTATTTTATCACCTACAGCAAAACTGTATGACAAAACATCCAAACAGTACAAGGACATAACATACTACTTTCCTCCTGGTCTTTATTTAAAATAGATCATTAAAAATAATCAATAGTTATCTATATCAACTCACATGAAAATTTTTTTATCACAATATCACCCAGCCCTACTGCTTACTGTGCAAGGCAAACATTTTGCTGTCTATTGTTCTTGTGTGTAGTTTTATAGTTTTGGTTGGTTGTTCGGTCTGCTACTTTGGTCCAGACTGAAATATCCTAACATTTCCATGATTTTTTTTTTATATACATTCATGGTCCCCAGAACATGAATCCCACTAACTGTGGGGATTCCATTATGTTTCCTCTAGCGCCACCCTCAGGTTGACATTTTTGGCTTTTAGTGAAATATCTTGACATCTTTTGGATGAATCACCATTAGCTCGTTGCTGGTATTGGCACATAATTTGGTACCGACATTCATGGTTCCAAGAAGATGAATCCTAATGATCTTAGTGATCACTTGACTTTTCTCTAGTGCCACTATGAGATCAAAATTTCAATTCATCCAGCTTCATTTGCCTCAGTACTTTGTGTTCTATGCTAATAAGCAAATGTATCAGCATGATAACTTGTTAACCTACTATGATGAACATGAGACTCAAAAACAAACCCCTCTTCTCCTCCCACCCCTCCCTCTCCCTGCTCGGTTACATTCTGCCCAGCCCCTCACATGCATCCTTGTCGTTTTCACTGTCTCAGCTAATGCAGGAGCTTGCTAGCCTGTGAATAAGCGTTGTTGTGAGAGGAGTCGGCGACCAGAAGCACATTCAGCAATGAGATTCTCTGATTGGTTAGAAAAGTGAAGCTCACTCGAAAACTTTCAAAATATTTCAACCAAGAAAGTTTAGAACTGAACTAAGAACAAAAGTTACTTACTATCAGCATGTTAGCTCAAAGCACCTCAGCCTTGAAGAGCTGCTAACATCACTGTAGACTCTTATGCTTGTTTCAGAGCGGTTGCATTTGGATGTAGCTATATTATTAATGTCTCCTTTCAAGTTTGATCTACTCAATCTACAGCTGTGGTCATTTGGCAGATCTGGCTGAAGTAGTACAGTAAAACCGGAATGCTTGAAAGTCAGCATTTTATATCAGCGTTCTACAAAAAAAAGAAACATTCAACTGAACATGAACTATAGCTTGTAATTCTTGTGTGCTATGACTTTAAGTGGGTGATACGAGCAGCAATATGCAAACAGTGGTCATGAGAACAACCTAATCACAGTGCAGCCCAATCAGCTCTGAAATCACACTGTAACCTCACTTTTCTGTTGACTGTGTAATGATTTACCACAAAAGACCTTGCTAGTTAATTTAACTTGGTAAAATCCCAGCACCTGTTAGTTGAGAACTGTGTCCCTGCTTGCTTTTTGGTCGCCATTTCTTTATTCACCAAAAACGGGTCCAAAGTCCAAACTCCGATGACTGAAACTCTGGATCATATGGGCTTGGAGCAATACAGTCAGGACCACCTTCGTCCCATTACCTTAGGTTTTACAAGCATGTGATTCAAATGACTAGAATTCTGACAATTTTAAGTCCTTAAGCTGTAAGATTAAATGGCGAGGTCACATTGCTGAATTGTATGGGGTGAAGCATTGCCCAGCTGGACTGCCGTTCTCTGGTTTGATATTGACAGCATTTTATTGTTCATGTAATGTCACTGAATGCCACATCCTTACTCCAAGGACCAACAGCGGATCTGTTTGCATCAGATGGTGAGATATTGTCTTTTACACTGAACTTTTCACCTGTTGCTGACTCCCACTTGAAGACATTGTTCAGTGATCTCATAAAATAAATTGGTCATGGACGAGACTTAACACGTGTCTGTCAAACTGTCTTCAAATGCGTCAGAGTTATGTTTCATGTCACTTACACTAGGGTGTGTGTTATTAGATCCCACCTGGACCTTTGCTTTCTCATATTTTTGTGCTGGGTTGAATTTCAATTCGGAGGGTAGCATATGGTACCAGGAGCAGAGGAGGAATGTCGGAGCTTTGTTTGATTTTCTAAATGTAGTGAATTATCCATGACAGCCTGAAGCCCGTAGGAATGGCATGATGGGATAAATTAAGTCAGGATTAGTGATTTGTGCTCTTTCGGAGCAGCTCTCAGATTATCACCATTGATTTACAAAGGTGTGTTGTTGAATTCTGTGAGCTAACTAGATAAGGATGCAAATAAATCTACTATTTCCCTTAAAGTATACAGACCACTGTCTGCTTGATACTGAAAAAAAAGTTGAATTCCTCTTATTCCCAACATTTGTCTGTCTAATAATATAAATATGTGGATATGTAGCAGACAAATACATATAAGCCTGTGTATACTACCTGGTGCCCTTTGTTCTTTATCTGCCCAATTTTTTTGGATGGTAATTTCAGTGTAACATATCGTAGGTTGCTCTTGCTGCCTTATGTTTACTATGTCCTGCTTTCGTGAGTGCAGTTTTAAAATAACAGCATGTTTCTATCCTACGTGAACAGGTAGGAATGACGTAGGAGTTAAATTCCTGGCTGATCAGATCAATTCTTGGATTTATATTTATGATATTTATATTTATATTATTAAACAATAAAACACAGCATTTACTTGTTCTTCTGTGGAAAAATGTAAAAAAAATACTTTGTCAGGCTAGTTAAAATGTTATAATAATTTTCCTGTCCACTGTGTACTGCTGAAACATGTCACGCAGCAGCAGCACCCCGTGGATTTTTTGGTCAGGTTTCCTGCAACTAACCATTTGTCAGCCACACTCCACTTCACTGTTTGTTGACCTGTAATCAGAAAAGTGCAGATTTTTTTCCCTTTGCAATGTCTTCTTGTTTTTGTATGTATGTATTTCTGCCTCAGTGTGAGTAGTGAGCACACTGGTTTTGGCAGGATGGCTGTTTTACATAAAAACCTGAGGAACACATACTTGTGAGGAAGGCCAAACTTAATAACTTTGTTCTGCATTCTCTGAGATAGCTCAAATGAAGGATAGTTTAAAAAAAAAAAGGGGCCCTCAGTTTGATGAGAGGTTTAGAGTATTGGTTAAGAAAATATCCTGGATCTAATTAAAATTCTTAACATTCCACTCATAACTCAGGTTATGCTCAAGGTCTTCATGGACTTAAAGTCCTTAGTCTCAATAAACTTAAATAATCCTGTTTTACCAAACACAGCTGGGCATGCATCTCATACATATGTTTCCTCTGCCAGGATCCAATTTTATGTGAGGAAAGTATTGTTTACTCTTAAAGAACCAGCACCAGAAACACTGCAGAATATCTGTGTTCTTACACGCTGTGATAAATCACCTGCAGGTAAACAGGTTTTACCAATTAATGAATCCTTTGTGTGACATTATTGTGGGCTCAGCTTGTACCAGGATTGCTCAACCTCTGGAGCTGAGTATGGCTCGTGAGAGGAGAAAGACTTGAAGATTCAAATAGTTTTCTGTTTGTGGAAGTCAGAATACAGAATGTTGAGAGGATTATTGAAGGACATTTAGACTGAGATGAAGGAATGGATGTGTGCACTCTTTGATGGAAATGATCAGCATTATTATGTATGAGATACAAAACATAGTTATTGCAAAGATTATTTAGTGTTACCTAAATGTTTGTGGCTTGCTAACTTATTATACTGAAACAGTTTTTTAATGCTTATGTAGGAATCTGGAATTCCCTTTGAGAGTAATTTTTTTTTTTTTTTTTGGTATTTTTTATGCAAAAGGCACAAAGTCACTTCCACTTATGTCTTATCTGGGATTTCAGAGACATAGAATCACTGTTGTGTGTAGTACTGTAAGTTTCAGTACCAATAATGAAACAATGCTCATTTCAACATCTTACTTTTTGTAATATATAAACATTGTTCTACAAATCCTCTTTTTGTATAAAACAAACATTTTGTTTTAGAAAAATAAA